CACATCCGTAGGTGACTACAGGGAATACCATGGCTTTGACTAGGCGGATCTTTGTTGTCAGTCTGATGTCTCTACTTTTCACTATTTTATCGAGACTGGACATTGCTCTCCTCCCAAGAAGTAAGCGTCTTCTGATTTCCTGGCTACAGTCTGCATCTGCAGTAATCTTTGCCCCTAGAAATACAAAGTCTGTCACGGCCTCCGCGGTTTCTCCTTCTATTTTCCAGTTGTCAATCATTCTTGTTGCCATAATCTTGGTTTTTTTTGACGTTTAGCTGCAACCCGGCTTTTGCGCTTTCTTCTTTCACCTTGATTAGAAGGCTCCTCAGCTCCTCCTCGCTTTCGGCCATCAGAGTGGTGTCATCTGCATATCTGAGGTAGTTAATGTTTCTTCCAGCAATTTTCACCCCAGCTTTGCATTCATCAAGCCCCGCACATGCATGATGTGTTCTGCATACAAGTTAAAAAGGTTGGGTGAGAGTATGCAGCCTTGCCGTACGCCTTTCCCAATCTTGAACCAGTCTGTTGTTCCGTGTTCAGTTCTGACTGTTGCTACTTGGTCCTTGTACAGATTCCTCAGGAGAGAGACAAGGTGGCTTGGGATGCCCATCCCACCAAGAACTTGCCACAATTTATTATGATCCACACAGTCAAAGGCTTTAGAATAGTCAATGAAGCAGAAGTAGATGTTTTTCTGAAACTCCCTGCCTTTCTCCATTATCCAGCGGATATTGGCAATCTGGTCTCTCGTTCCTCTGCCTTTTCTGAACCCAGCTTGAACATCTGGCAACTCTCGCTCCATGTATTGCTGGATTCTTCCAGTAAGGTATACAAAGATGCAAAAACATCTACCTCCTTCTAATCCATCCTAGATGTGTAGCCTTTTTGTAACTATTCAACCACATCAGAAGGACTGGTAGGCCCTTAGAGCCCTGGCAGCACTTATTGTTATGGCACCAAATATTTTGCTGCCTCAAGCAAAGAATAAGATGGTGTCTTCCCCTTTTCTTATGCATGCGGAAACTGGCTGGAAAGCAGTTGAACCTTATTTCATCATGGCCAGCATAATATGATCCTTCCCCTACACCCTTTGATGCAAAGCAAGGCATGTGATACTCACAGCTCTGTCCTCGAACCTCACTATGTTTATTAATAATATTAAAAATAATAATAATGATGATAATGATAATGATAATATCTATCTCCCTAAAGGGATCAGGGCAGATCCCAAACATAAAAGGCAAACATTCAATGCCCAAATACAACAACAATACATCCATACTAACAAAATTTATACAACCCAACATATAAACATGAATTATAACTTAACAAACTAAAATTAAATAAAAAGCACAGCCTGTTATAACAGACATAAGACAAAACATCAAACATCAAATTGAAACAATAATTTCCCATTACTTTGGGGCAAATAGATTAATTATTGCTCAAGATATCTATTGAGCTGGTGATGTGAGCAGAGCATGGATACGGATGGCAACTATTAATCACAGGTATAATGGTAGTATTACCAACTACTATTCCTCCTCCTCATAAGCCAGTGAGCAAAGATATGTCTTCAGCTGGGAGGGAGGGGGCCATCTTTAACTCCTTAGGAAGGGAGTTACAGAGGTGGGGGGCAGCCATGGAGAAGGCCCTTTCTCTCGTTGCCACCAGCTGTGCTTGGGACGGGGGTGGAACTGAGAGGAGGACCTCCTCTGAAGACTGCAATGTCCAAGTTGGTCTGTAGAGGGACTACTTCTAGCACCCATTGCCTGTAGGATATGACCAGTTTCATATACCCACTGCATTTAGAGCCATATACTACAAACCTACACATTCATGTGAGATTCCTTAAGTAGGATTTTATTTATTTATTTATTTATTTATTTATTTATTTGCTATACTTGTATACCGCCGTTTCTCAGCCTAGCCGGCGACTCAACGCGGTTTACAACAACTTATAACAAACAACAGTATACAGTTTAAAAGCATAAAAACATAATCCACAATACATATATCAATAAACAATCCAATTCATCTCTTGACTAAAATCGTGATCCAGTTTCGTCGTCCAGATTGCCAGTCCTTCAATCATTACACTTATTGCACTGAGTTAACCGAACGCCTGCTCGAACATCCACGTTTTTAGTCTTTTCCTGAATACCATCAATGAGGGAGCTGATCTTACCTCCATGGGAAGGGCGTTCCATAGCCGCGGGGCCACCACAGAAAAGGCCCTGTCTCTCGTCCCCGCCAGCCGCACCTGTGAAGCAGGCGGGATAGAGAGCAGGGCCTCCCCAGAAGATCTTAGGGTCCTGGTGGGCTGATAGGCCGAGATACGTTCGGATAGGTAGGTTGGGCCAGAACCGTTTAGGGCTTTAAAGGCCAACGCCAGCACTTTGAATTGAGCCCGGTAGCAAATCGGCAGCCAGTGGAGCTGGTGCAGCAGAGGAGTTGTATGCTCCCTGCGCTCCGCTCCTGTTAGTATCATGGCTGCCGAGCATTGGACTAATTGGAGCTTCCGGGCCGTCTTCAAAGGCAACCCCTACACAAGATTTTACACAAGAGCAAACCGATATTAACTATCTTTGCAGGAACCCTACATCTATAGATGTTTCCAACCGTCTGTGTTTTCCAAGGAAAAGTCTTCTTATCTTTAAATAGCACTGGCCAACACACATTTTGGTGCTTCAAATGTTTTGATGTCTCAAATGTCAAAAGTTTGAGAAATAACCTCAAAAGCACTGTTTTGCTACTCACCAAATCAAAACCATCAGAGCAAGCAAACAAGAGGAATTTCTCTACATGTAGAATATAGTGTATCAAGAATAGTGACTGTTCCATAACACTTCCTCCTGGTATATACCCATGTGCAGCAATATTTTTAGACAGGGGGGCTAATTTAGGTACTGTAGCCCAGGAAATGCCTGTGCGGCCATGCAATATTATTATTTCCATTCAGAATTAATTACCACCAACCTCAATGGAGTTTAATTCCTGGCACATTTCAACCCTCGAGGCCATTCCAAACAGGCCCAAAACACAGGACCTGTCTCGCTTTTATCTGAGGTGTCCAAACAATGCCTCAGGTAAAAGCAATCAATGCAAAGAAAACTGGGTTTTCCCAGTTTATTCCATGTTAATTTGACACCTGGAAAGATCCGGACATAAGCTAAAGTCCAGATATTTCCAGGTGCTGGGCAGGTGGGGATTGACTCCTGCGGCTGCTTCTGCAGTCCTGGGGATCAATCCCCAGGTTACAGTTTGTTGGGCTCCTGGAGGTTAAAGAAGTGGGAGGATGTCACAACTCAGGGTAGATTCACCTTGCTCAAGACACCACCATGCACCAAGGCTGTAGGTTTTGTAGTTTATTCAGATAAGCATTTAATCTACCGATGCCTCAATTAATGCAATTTTATTGCTATATATTTATATTCTTATTTTTGAAATTTACCAGTAGCTGCTGCATTTCCCACCCTCAGCTTATATTCGAGTCAATAAGTTTTTTTGTGGTAAAATTAGGTGCTTCTGCTTATATTCGGGTCAGCTTATACTTGAGTATATACGGTGTATAGAAAAACAGGTGGTTGCTGTTGTTCTAGCTCATGTTTCTGGGCAAATTTCCAGAAGGTAGCTTTGTTAACCTGTTATCGTAAAACCAACGAATCCGTTTGCTTCTGCTGCATTCACCAAATGGCGTTAGAACTCACAATTAACTAATGATGTTTTATTACTATGGACAGAATAAATACCACATGCTTTTCATGGGCCATTGTATTTTACAGTGAAAAGTAAACTACACATATATAATGAGGTTCCTATAAAGCTGTTTGACGACAACAAAACAGGTGTCAGCTAAATGCAGAGTGACTCCAGATTCACTGTGCTCAGTCATCATTAATGTACAAGAGGTGTTTGGACTTTCGTTCACAGATCTTGCAGTTGTTGTTACTAAAGGAGTCCTGTTGGCAGCACATAAGGTACTGGTACTCTCATTCTGATCCAATATCGCCTAATAATCTGTATTAGCTTTTTACAAAAGTTTACTTGATGCAATCTGAATTAACCACATTCTATTGTACTGTAACAAAACGTGAAATACAGTACTGTTGAAATAAACAATGGGGAGGAGATAACTTTTAGATGAGATTTTCCCAAACTTCCAGGGCTGGTGGGCCAGACTGGATCTTCCTGACTCAACTGGGGGCCACACTCACCCACTTCTGCCACCATTGCCTCTGGATTTCCTTCCTCAAAAGAAAATGTGTCTTTCATATACAGGGAATCACCTTGCCAAGAGATTCCTGAGAAGATAATTTAGTCACACAAGGAGTCTGTGTCATGCTTTACAAAAAGGAGAGTGCTACTTGTACCTGTTTTAGAGCAACAAAAGTAGTGTTATCTACAGACCCTAGGGCAGTGGTTCTCAACCTGTGAGTCCCCAGATGTTTTGGCCCTCAACTCCCAAAAATCCCTACAGCTTGTAAACTGGCTTGGATTTTTGGGTGTTGTAGGCCAAAACACCTGTTGAGAACCACTGCCCTAGGGGGTACCAAGTTTTTCGGGAGTGTGTGTAGGTTCCCAAATTTTGTTCCTTTGTATTTTGAACTTCACCTCCAAGAATTGCTAGCCTTCATGACTAATAGTCAAGAAGGTATGAGAACTGTATTCCCAAACAAAGGAAAGGGTTGAGTTTGAAACCACTAACTGGTAGCCTATGACGTGAGCAATATGTATTTGTACTTACTTTCTTTGCATAATTCCCCACTTACAGTAGAGGCACAAGTTAAGCTACCCTTCCAAATCTTTGGTTTATAACAACTATAATATTGTTTTTATAACAATTGATCAGGAAATAAAACCTATTAAAATGCATACTCAGGAAATAATGTGATATAACACTTACCTCCTAATTCACAAAGCACCTGTTATGACTCATGTTGTAAAGCAGGAAGTCCCTAAGATGAGGTGTGTGCATATAGACACATATAAAATGCTTCATTGAAGCAAGGAAACCCATTCAAGTAGCTGACTATTGTACTGAAGCTCCTGGAAAAATAAAGGTAAGATTTAAACAATCAAAAAATATATATTTTAAATATTCCCTATTACAAGGATTATCATAACATTGTTAAACTGGAGAACATCATAAACCCGAACTTAGTTGTTTTACATCTTGAATCTTGGATCTATTTAAATGTTATAGCATATATAAGCATGCTCATCTGTTTTAAGAAACAGGTGTGACTGTTCACTCTGAAATTATATATATATATATATATATATATATACACACACACACACACACACACATACACTCACACACAGAGACATGTACACACACATGTTCACACATACATACACACACATCAGGACAAGGTACAAAAATCTGAAGACACAGACCAAAAAAAATGTAGACATCGATTGAAGGTTGAAAGGCAGGAAAAAAAACAATAATGCTTTTACAAAATCAATCTACGAGGGTTGAATTAAAAGTAATGCTTCCACCTTCGTAACTCCTCAACAGATGGCAGTACTGGTATATGTCAGGTACTGGCTTGTTCAGTAGACTCTCTTCTACAGTTTCATTTTGGCAGGAAGCCTTAGCATTGAACATTTGTGTTGTTAAAGTGCGAAGTATGGAACACTGCGCAGACGGTCAATCAATGCGACTTAAGCAACATGCAGTCATTGAATTCTTGACAGCAGAAGGTGTCACCCCAAAGGAGATTCATCAGAGAATGCAAGCTGTTTATGGTGATTGTGTTGATACGAGTACTATGCATCACTGGGCAAGTAAGTTTAAAGATGTGGAGGTGGGAACATCTGACTTGCATGACAAACAAAGAGTTGGATGTCCTGTGATAGCAACCACCGAGTTACACAAGCAAAAGCTTGACAGATTGATTCAGGGCAATTGTCGTATCACTCAGAGAGAAATTTCAAGCATTATCAGCATTTCACAAGAATGTGTGGGTCACGTTATTGCTTTGCTTGGCTATCAGAAGATCTGTACACGATGGGTACCCAGGATGCTGACGCTTGAAATGAAAGTGCACAGACTTCTTCCGTGACAGCTTCAGAAAACTTGTTCAGCGTTGGCAGAAATGTATCCAATTGTCTGGTGATTATGTGAAAAAGTGAATAGTGGTATTTAAAGAGCACATTCTAAGGATTATTTCTGCATTTGATTTATTAAAATACTCCCATCCAAACCCAAGTAGCGAAGGTGGAGGCATTACTTTTCATTCAACCCTTGTAAAAACAACAGAAATTCAGGAGAAGTCACTTATGCCCTTTTAAAGGATATTGCCACATGTGGCTCCTCATCATCATAATGACAAGTGACATCACACATCTGCTGCTGTTGTGTGACTATGACTCCTCAGCCGTGTGAAGCTGCACTTTCAGGTAGGTGGCATAAGTGAGCATGTGCCACATTCCAGTTCCAAGTATTATATATAGAGGCATCCCCTATGTTACAAACAGTATAGATTCTGTAGATTTGTTGAATTTGTATGTAAGTCAGAACAGGTACATATTGTAAGTGTAATTCCAGCCATTTTTTAGTTTTGCATGACAAAGGGAAGAGTTTTGTTTTTGTTTTTGTTTTTTTGTCATGTCAGGAGTGACTCCTGGTGTGAGAGAATTGGCCGTCTGCAAGGACGTTGCCCAGGGGACACCTGGATGATTTGATGTTTTTATCATCCTTGTGGGAGGCTTCTCTCATGTCCCCGCATGAGGAGCTGGAGCTGATAGAGGGAGCTCATCCACCTCTCCCCGGATTCGAACCTGCGACCTGTCGGTCTTCAGTCCTGCCGGCACAGGGGTTTAACCCACTGCGCCACCGGGGGCTCCAAGGGAAGAGTTAACATCCCTGTAGCTTTTGTTTTGCTGCCTGTGTCCCTGTTCAGAAGATTTCACTTCACTTTCTGTTCCTGTGACAACCGGATTTTGAAAATTTTGGATCACCTTTGAAACAAGGACTGATGATAAGATTCAGCGGAGACACTATTTTCCTATGATAACTCTTCCAAATCTACCTTCCTAGGGGTAGATTTCCTTGGCATTCCTGTTGTCTCAGGGACATGAAATGAGAGTAAATCCTTGAAATGACAGACAGCCATAAAAAAAAAAATCTCACAATGCCTCTAACCTACACCATACTAACCAAAACTCAAAAAATAAAATTTGCACGAGTTCTACTTTAAATGCAACTTGGACAGGTACTTATGTTAATATATTATTTATATTTACCTGTGCATGTAAATGTGTAAACATTTTCAAATGCTGTAAAAGTCTTGGTGTGTGCTTCTGGCTGGTTCTTCTGCTCCGGGACCCTCCTAGCACACTCCTACACGCTTGTAACTAAGAGACGTATGTAAGTCGGACGTTTGTAACACAGAGACTGTCTGTATTCATTATTATTTATTATTATTATTAACTTTATTTGTACCCCGCTAACATCTCCCGAAGGATTCGATGCGGCTTACAAAGGCCAAGGCCTCAATAAAAACAACAGCATAACAATACACATGACATTATAAAGCAAATCAAAACGTTAAGCAATAACAGTAAACAATAAAAACAATACACCATAACACAATAAAACTAGGGCCGGGCCAAATGTAATGGGTACAGATTAAAAAGTGCTGAGTATGACAGGTGAAATGTAGGATTTTAGGGTAAGTGCAATGTGCAGACAATCTTAAATCTCTGATAAAGTGCTTCTGGGACATATTGCTGGAGTTTCCTATTCTGGAAAGGCACACCGGAACAGCCAGGTCTTCAAACTCTTCCTAAAGACTGCCAGTGTAGGGGCTTGTCTGATGTCCTTGGGGAGGGTGTTCCAAAGTCGGGGGGGCACCACAGAAAAGGCCCTGTCCCTCGTCCCCACCAGACGCGCCTGCGACGCAGGTGGGATCGCGAGCAGGGCCTCTCCAGATGAATGAAGAGAACGCGTGGGTTCATAAACGGAGATGCGGTCACGCAGGTAGGCAGGTCTCAAACCGTTTAGGGCTTTGTATTCATATATATAAGTCAAGAATTTTTAGTCAAGAAATCAACCTCAAAAACTTGAGTTAACTTATCAATGAACAAATATAAGTACAGTAGCTTAACTTCTATCCAGAAAAAAGGAGGAGAGGGAGAGGACGAAGAACCATCCCCTTATTTGAGTACAGTGATAAAATGCAAGAATTTGTTTTACCTGGGGAGAATCTAAAAGAAGCACCCTCTGCTGTGGTACCACATCATGCCTTTAAGAATACCTAGGTGCATTTTGAATAGATGCTTTTGAACTGTGGTGTTGGAGGAAAGTTCTGAGAGTGCCTTGATCCGCAAGAAGATCCAACCAGTCCATACTTCAGGAAATAAAGCCCGACTGCTTACTGGAAGAAAGGATACTAAAAGCAGAGATTAAGAATTTTGGACACATAATGAGAAGAAGACAGGAAAGCTTAGGGAAGACAATGATGCTTGGCAAAATGGAAGGAAAAAGGAAGAGAGGCCGATCAAGGGCAAGATGGATGGATGGCATCCTTGAAGTGACTGGCTTGACCTTGAAGGATCTGGGGGTGGTGACAGCCGACAGGGAGCTCTGGCATGGCCTGGTTCATGAGGTCATGAAGAGTTGGAAGCAACTGAACGAATGAACAACAACAACAGGTAGGGAAATCAGAGGTGGTGATGGCCATGGGTAGGTGATCCCCTCAGGCAGTATTGGTGTTTTCCCCTCTCCATGGAATGACCCTCAACTAATCTGTAGTTCATATCAAAATCTTAGCAGTGAATGTTTTCTTTGTTCTTTTAGAACTGTTTTCCATGCCATTTTTTCACTCAGTTCTGTGCAGTTCAGTAACGTTTTGTTTTAAAAAAAAAAAAACCTGTTTGCAACAGCTGCAGATAAAGTCTCCACCCAGCATAGAAATGCTGACAAGAACTAATCCTGGTGTTGATGTGATCCAAGAAATTAAAAACAAGCATCCAGTTCCTTTATCTCGGCATCAAGCCTGTTTATGGCATGGCATTTTAAAGCTGCTTTAAATATTTTGGACAAAGTCTCCTATTGCAAAGTTGTGTTGAGTTCTAATATGCTAGCAAGGGTTGTTGGTGCTCTGCAACTTTTGTTTTTAAAGAAGGAATTATATGCAGGGAACCACTGTAATGCTGTAATGGTCAAATTACAAAGAGTACACTTTTGCTGCTGCACATTACATTCACCAGCAAATATTTTTTTTTTTGTTTCAGGGTTTTGAAAATTGAAATGCAGAATAGATTCAATGGTGCATTAAACTTGAGTAAATACAGAGAGTTTATAACACACAAGAAGAAAACCAATAGCATAAACAGCACATTAGAATATGCATATCTTAGATACATGAATTTTTCACACTACTTAATCAAATCGGTTCTTTTGGACATTGGGGTTTTAAGTGTGTTGTGCAGATAATCCTAGAGAAGTTACCAAAGAAAAAAGTTGAGAAAATCTAAATACCCCAAGCTGTTAGCTCCTAAATTCAAAACATAAATAGATAATCCAAATGCATACATTTCAAACAGCTTCATATTAGTCATTATAAATTTCTATATTATAGTTGCATATAATACATAGTAAATACTTTGGTAACAGGGACATATTTCATATATATAAATGTAATGTTCGTTTGTGAGATTAACAGAACTCAAAAACCACTGGACGAATTGACACCAAATTTGGACACAAGACGCCTAACAACCCAATGTATGTCCTTCACTCAAAAAAAAAACTGATTTGTCATTTGGGAGTTGTAGCTGCTGGGATTTATAGTTCACCTACAATCAAAGAGCATTCTAAACCCCACCAACGATGGAATTGAACCAAACTTGGCACACAGTTCTCCCATGACCAACAGGTGAACTACAACAGTTTGGAGTTGTAGTTCACCTACATCCAGAGAGCACTGTGGACTCAAACAATGATGGATCTGGACCAAACTCTACACGAATACTCAATATGCCCAAATGTGAACACTGGTGGAGTTGGGGAAAATAGAATCTTGACATTTGGGAGTTGTAGTTGCTGGGATTTATAGTTCACCTACAATCACAGAGCATTCTGAACCCACTAATGATAGAACTGGGCCAAACCTCCCACACAAGACCCCGTATTCCATCATCTTAGGGCAGTTCTACACTGCCATATGGAGCCCCCGGTGGCTCAGTGGGTTAAAGCACTGAGCTGCTGAGCTTGTTGATCGAAAGGTCGCAGGTTCGATTCCGGGAGCGGAGTGAGCTTCCGCTGTCAGCCCTAGCTTCTGCCAACCTAGCAGTTCGAAAACATGCAAATGTGAGTAGATCAATAGGTACCGCTCCGGCGGGAAGGTAACGGCGCTCCATGCAGTCATGCCGGCCACATGACCTTGGAGGTGTCTACGGACAACGCCGGCTCTTCGGCTTAGAAATGGAGATGAGCACCACACCCCAGAGTCAGACATGACTGGACTTAATGTCAGGGGACTACCTTTACCTTTACCTATATATATATGAGAGAGAACTCTGGGATGGGCAACACATGTCCCATGTGCTGCATATAGTCCCCTTAATCCTTTTATGATTGTCCCAAACCCTGTCCTTGCCACAAGCAGTACACTACTCAATTTCAAAAGTGCAGTACTACAGGGAGAAAACATACTTTTTCAAAAAGACAGAGTCACACTCATCCTCCAAGCAAAAGGAAACCCAGTTGCACGGCACTGGCAGGGAGAGGTCCCTGGTTTGTAGGACAGGATCCAGTTGGCTCAACATATGAGGAAGTTGCTCTGCTCAATATTGGCAGGCCACTATAGACTAGCATCTCTCACGATTGTTTTATCAGGAAAGAGATCTCTTTCCAAAGTCAAACAATCTTCACACTTGAGGTCAGGTTCAAGAAATATCTTGTACTAGGCATCCAGCCAACATTTTTTTTCCCCAGCTTGTGACCACCAATGCAAGTAAAAACCCTCTGGTCGAAAAGTTCACAGCAACTAGTTTCAGCCAGTTAAGACTTACCTATGAATAGATTTAACAAAGGAATGCAGAGGGTTGGGAAGAGTGGAGCCATACCAAACAACTTAATTTTTACATACTACATGCAGTTTTCCCACTAGGAGTGGAGCATTCAGTTGCTGGTTTTGCCTCCTAGGTTTAAACTAAAATCAAACTATAATCCATTAAGAAATAGTGAGACCTTCATCCAAAGATATGACATATGCAAAGATATGAAGAAGCATGCAGCATCAAATGTTTCAAAGATGCATATTTAAAATTGTCACAAGTAGAAAACAATCCATGTTCTTTGCTTTTCAGCAATGGTCCTGCCTGGTTTATATGTATGTGTGGTCATATTGTTGCACCAATCCAGGATAAAGGTAAGGCATATTATTATTATTATTATTATTATTATTATTATTATTATTTATTATTATTTTACTGACACAAAAGCACAGTATGTCACATCAAACAAGATCTCTGTGCTGGATTTCGTATCACAAAATCACAAGTCGAACACTTCCCAAGTGTCTAGGACTGTATGATGTATTTTCAAATGATGCGTGCAGATCCACGTAAAGTGGCTTTTTGCAGTTTGCAGATCATGATTTTATCAATCTTAATTGTTTCCAAATGCCGGCTGAGATCTGTTGGCACAGTACCCAGTTTGCCAATAACCACTGGGACCACCTGTACTGGTTTATGCCAGAGCCTTTGAGGTCCTGATAATGGCTGAGTTTTTCCTGTTGTTTTTCCTCAATGTGACTGTCACCTAATATGGTGACATCAATTATTATTATTATTATTATTATTATTATTATTATTATTATTATTATTATTATTACCATGCTTTCTATCCCCCAAAAGAGACTCAAAGACGCTTAACATAAAAGGATTTAGCATACATTTTTTTTTAAAAATACAAACATTAAAACAGAATTAAATATAAACAGATTTTTTTTAAATTCACAGTTAAAATCTAATCAAAACATATTCAAGTTAAAATCATAGCACCCCTTGGCTTGATCATAAAAAATCTTCATCTTTAAAAGTCTGTCTGAATAAAAAAATAAAACTTTTTTCTTCATACAAAATAGCAAATGGGTGGAAATACATCCAGACTGTACTGCTGGTGTATATAATGATTTTGACAATCATGTTTCTATGAATCAAAATATATCCAGTGACTGTCAAGGAGTTCTTGATGGTGTGTGGCTTTCACATCAACAATGTTTTTTAACTTACTTCAGAGTTTAGTCTGAGGATTAAAGGAATTTCCAGTGTACTGGCTCAAAATAGATTCAGCACCTTGGACAGCTTCTTTAACGTTTGGAGAAAAATTTGGATTGCAGAGAAATCTAGATTGGTTTCACCTTCCCATTGACACTGAAGGAATGAAAAACCAACTTTGCATACGCTTCCAAGAATTTTTCAGGTCTGAGTTGTTCCAGATTTCCATTTGCAAGGAGAATCCTTCCATTGAATACCTTTGTGCAAAATGTCTTAAAAGAAATCTCAAACATTGGACTTCCTAACTCTAAAATCCTGTTCACTTATGAACAAAGTGTTTTGAATGAATACACCAAGGGGAAGAGGAAACAAGTCTGTCTCTCCGTGTCCCTCTTCAGTTCTGTTTGTCACTCAGGCAAAGAGTGACAAGGCTGAAGAGAAGCGCTTCTACTGGCATGTACGCAGTTGGAAACCTTAAAAATCACATTGAGAGTGTCCATGTGTAGGAGAAGCACTCCTTTTTAGACAACTCACCTCCACTTGAGGAAGTCAATGGATATGGAGGCCAAGGGGAGCAAACCAAGGCTAGCATACTAATCTCTTACATGCCATAGAATAGGTAAGTCCAAAATCCATATGCCAATTGCGGGCCTTGTTCCAATTTCCAGCAGCCCTCTTTCTCCAGGCCTTCAACCCTTCCTCTCTTGATTTCCTTCCTTTATTTGCTCCTTCCTTCCTTCCTCCCTTCTTGGGGATTAGGACCCCCGATGGTGATGGTGGTCTCTTGCATCTCTTCACCTCTATTAAGCATTGCCTTCTCCTTGGGTAGTTCCAACCTCAAACATCCCATCCCAGTGGCCCCTTATCTCTCTCACACACACTTCACCGACATCATTTTCTTTATTTCTTTGAAAAGGAAGGTTCCCCAATTGCCCTGCTAGCTCCAGGCCCTGGCTGCTGCATGGCCAGGAAGGGTGAGTCCTGGAAACCAATTGTCTGTCTGGCTTCCCTCCCTTCTTTCTCTGGCCCACCTTCACCCCACGTTTTCCAAAAGGCTGCCCTTCACTATGGCTCTTCCCTTGGGAAGAAAAGGGGAGAGCCAGGCCACCAACTATAACCCCCCCCCCCCCGGCATCACAATCAAAGCCCTCCCAACAGATGAAAAAACCTCTGCTAAAATCCCTCCAAAGAAGAAGATGCCACCAGTCTCTGAGGCAGCATATGTCACTGTCTGAAATGACTTGAAGGCACACAACAACAATTCTAATTAAGGTTCTTGTGGGTTTTTTCGGGCTATAGAGCCATGTTCTAGAGGCATTTCTCCTGACGTTTCGCCTGCATCTATGGCAAGCATCCTCAGAGGTGTGAGGTCTAATTAATGTGACTCTCTTATCAGCCAAAAGCAGGCCCACTGGTACATTTATGTTGGTTACAATTATTATTTGTTTTATATATTGTATTGTTCTTTCAAAAAGAAATTGCACTACAAACAAGACATGCACAGTTTGCATAGGAATGTGTTCATACTTTTTTCTAACTATAGTCTGTGTCCCATCGTTGTCGTCCCCCTCCCCAAGTAGGCTGAGGGACCATGGACTGTCCCTTAGCTTAAAAAGTTTGGACACCCCTGCCATAGAAGAAGGAGGAGAATGGGGAGGGGGAGAAGGAAGGGGAAGGAGACATTCATGTATAAATCTAGCATTCGCAAACAGCTAGGAAAGGTGGTTGATGATGGGATAGAATCCCCTCCCACAAATGAATTTTACTATGGGTTGTGTAATGGTTGATATATTTTTGAGTTTTTGGACCTCATCACATGGTTGTTTCCTGGTGTTTTCTCTCTGTTCTCACAAACTGGTGAAGGAGTCCCGTGGAAGTCATCCCATGGGATGACTTCCAGTGGCCACCTGTGGGACTCTTGTTTTACCAGTGTGCTCCAAGGGAGAGAAGACTCCATTCTCAGGAGTCAGGTGTTCCCCGACTCCTCATTCCAAGAAGTGAGGAGAAGCAAGGGAAAGTAAAAGAAGACAGAGAAAGGTCATGGGATGACTAGCCATCCCCGAAGATGGACCTTGCCAGGAGAGAATGGGGTAAAATGGTTTCCCCAGCCTTCCCAATGCTTTCATAGAATCATAGAATCAAAGAGTTGGAAGAAACCTCATGGGCCATCCAGTCTAACCCCCTGCCAAGAAGCAGGAATATTGCATTCATATCACCCTTGGCAGATGGCCATCCAGCCTCTGTTTAAAAGCTTCCAAAGAAGGAGCCTCCACCACACTCCGGGGCAGAGAGTTTCACTGCTGAACGGCTCTCACAATCAGGAAGTTCTTCCTCATGTTCAGATGGAATCTCCCCTGCTTCCCTTCTGCTCATCTGATGTTCTTTGTCAAAATCTGTTAGCAGAATTGTATCAGCATTCAATGAAGTGTAAGACCAGCATCATATCTCTTTATTTGAAGGCTGAGGGTGATATCGATGTTCTGATGACCACCAATCCTGATCAGCAACAGGAGATAGTGGACATGCACAATAGCTTACGCAGAGCAGTGGACCCACCAGCCAGAAACATGCTGAAAATGGTAAGATCAATTCAGAAAGGTTGGAACACGAGCAGGAAAGGATACATCAATTTCCCTGATTTTTAAGAAGCTCAAAAATGACATTGTTGTTGTTTTGTTAAGCATTATGTTAACTGTTCTTTTTTAAAGAAGCCACTAGCTATTGGTCCTTGCTATTGGTCCAATCTGCAAATGAAAGCTCTTGTTCGGGCAAACCTGAATTCATTTCACTATGCAACATTCCTAGGATGTAGATATTTTCTGGAATTGATTGAACATAAAGACAGAAAATATTGTGAAAATGTGTAAAACTAAAACCCCTACTAATTACACCAAAAAAGTATTTGCTACACATATATATGATCCCTGGGGGGTCCTGTTTGCCACAAAAAATAGCCTTGGTCTTATTTAGAAGTGGTTTGAAGGACCCATGTTTTAAATGCTTATAATTTAAAAGTTCATCCTGTTCACTTTTCCACCCAATTTATTTAATCAAGCTTCCTCAGATATCTGTGAAACAGTCTTCCAATATGTCACAACAAGAACATAGCACTACTTCCACCATCAGATTTAGTCCGATCAACTTGAAATTGGCCTGTCTCACAACACACTAATACATTTTCTTATGACCTGTAGGAATGGAACGATCAGCTAGCAAAAAATTCACAAAAATGGGCAAACAAATGCGCTCTGGATCACAGTTCAAAATCAAGCAGAAAGATGAGTAAGTAAAAGATTTGTTTTCAAGGATTTTAATTTCAAGTTCATTATATAAATGAAAACTTCATTTCCCCTGAGCAACATCCTTGCAGATGGCCAATTCTCTCACACCAGAAGCGACTTGCAGTTTCTCCAGTTTTTTCTGACATGAAAAAAATCCAAGTGGAAGCCACAAGGGGGTGCTAGACAGGAGGAAAGTACATTTTATGAAGGTTGAAGGAATAAAACCATTTTCTCCTGTTTTCCTGTTATTCTCCCCACCCAAAACCCCATCATCAAAACAACCACCATTTATGGGGAGTGGGATAACAAGCAACAACGGAAGAAATTGTTTTCCTCCTTCAATCCCCCCCCCCCCCCAATGAACTATCTTTCACTATCTAGGCCGCCTTTTGGAGTCCGCTTGGATAATTGAACAGTACCATTGGCAATGAGCTGTTCTCAAAATAGGATTACAACACTTGTTCTATTATCTGCTAGTGTTTATTTCAGGAGTCCTCAAACTTTTTGAACAGAGGGCCAGGTGACAGTCCCTCAAACTGTTGGAGGGTCGGATTATAATTTGAAAAAAAGCATGAATGAATTCCTATGCACACTGCACATATCTTATTTGTAGTGCAAAAAACACTTAAAAGCAATACAATAATTAACATTAAGAACATTTTTAACAAATATAAACTTATTAGTATTTCAATGGGAAGTGTGGGCCTGCTTTTGGCTGATGAGATAGGATTGTTGTTGTTGTTGTTGTTGTTGTTGTGTGTGCTTTCAAGTAGTTTCAGACTTAGGTTGACCCTGAGCGAGGGCCAGGTAATGACCTTGGAAGGCCGTATCTGGCCCCGGGCCTTAGTTTGAGAACCCCTGGTCTAGTTAGTGAGATACACTATACTGGCCCCTACTGGCAATCAGCTTCCAATAGCAGCTTCTAGAATATACTCAAATTCTCCTTAGCAATATTAAGAGAGCATGGCAGTACAACTATTGATAAATTATGTAAGCGTCTACTACAAACTACAATATACCATAACAACATAGATCTATGAAGCATGCTAGATCCTGACATTCTATCCCCTGCCCCAGAAACAAATTTCTCATTACATCAAAAAGAAATCAAGATGGTTTAAGTTTGTCTAGATATTTTGGATGGGCCTGTTTGGTCATCCTGGACACACAAATGTTTTTGCCATAGACCCATTCACAGTCACTTAAGAGAAATGTTTCCATTTGGCAAGGTCTTCCAATAAAATAGAAAAGCAGAGAGAATGGCAGAGTCCAATATTTCAGCTACTTCATAGCCAGCCAGCTCCCTACTTGTCTAGCACAAAATTTTAAATTAACAGCTTTATTCTCCAAACCACTTTTGATAGATGTTCCAGTTTCTTCGATTCCCCTCACTAGTTTGGTAAAACAAACCGATTTCAGAAATATCCCCTTTTTATCAGGGCAGATTAAATCTGCCATGTTTTTCATATATTGCTCATTCAACCTACTATCAGTTAATGATTTTGATATTTTGTTATTAAATTTGCTACTACAAAGCTCACTTTTACAACAATGTCTGCATGAGGAGTAATGAAAATACAGATTTTTTTTCAGTTCTATTTTGTCCTTACGATATGTTCCTTGATATGGATCAAATTTGGCAACATGTTTTCACATGTTTTCAAATTATAGATTTTGAAAATCTATCTATTTATTTATTTATTTACAGTATTTATATTCCACCCTTCTCACCACGCAGGGGACTCAGGGCAGATTACAATGTACACATATATGGCAAACATTCAATGCCAAAGACACACAACATATATAGACAAAGAGGCTATTTAACTTTTTCTGGCCGCCAGGGGAGCTGTCGCTTTCATCGTCCATCTGCGACACTGATGAAGTACTTCCGCATTCCCTGCATGCTTTTGCTGGAGTGCTTTGCTGGAGTCTTTTTTATGGCCTCATAAATTAAATTAGCCTCCCCACACATAGGTGGTACCTAATTTTCCTACTTGACAGATGCAACTGTCTTTCGGGTTGCAAAGGTGGACAACAAGCTACACAATTGGTCGGAAGCTCACTCCAACCCGGGCTGGCTTCGAACTCATGATCTTTTGGTCAGAAATTCCCTACAAATTAAGCAGAGTGCCTTACTATTTGCCATTTTCATGTCAGAAGTGACTTGAGAAACTGCAAGTCACTTCTGGTGTGAGAGAATGGGCCATCTGTAAGGAGATGCCCAGAGGACACCTGGATGATTGATGTTTTACCATCCTGGGAGAGACTTCTCACATGTCCTCGCATGGGGAGCTGGAGCTCGACAGACGGGAGCTCACCCTGCTCAATGGATTCAAACAGCAACCTTTTGGTCAACCAGTCCTGCCCGCACAAGGATTTAACCCATTGCACCACCTTCTACCACTATTTGCCTTGACAGATAAGTAGTCATCTGACCACCTTTCGTTGAACAATCTTCTTTCATCTGTAATTTTTCTTTTGGGGGTTCTGTTTACTTTTGAGATGCTGTGGAATCCATGCGGGAATTAAAATAATACTAATAGTTGGACAAGCCTGCCCTAAAGGTTGGAAATGCCACTATTTCTGAAATAGTTTCAGTTGCTAAACACTTAAGTTTTTGTGAATATTTCTTTTTCCACTTACAGATGGCACAAACTCTGGAGAAAACCTCTACATGTCAACTGCACCAAACTCATGGTCTAAGGCCATTCAGGCATGGTATGATGAAGTCCATGATTTTGAACATGGTTATGGAGCAATATGGCAAGATGCAGTTGTTGGCCATTACACTCAGGTACAATGTTAGCTTCAGTATTCCAACATTTTGACAAAGTTAATTAAGTTTGGACAAATCTGGGACCTACAGTTGTCTTGGGAGGGAGTGTTAACCAGCAGAAAGAAATCACAATGACTCCCTACATAGGCCAGGACAGAATAGATAGCTTCCAGCCAACTGAAAAGCTACTAAATACCAACTGCAATTAATCAGGGAATGGAAGGGAAGAGAAGGAGGAACTACACAACCACAAAATATAAACATACTGGGAAAACTAAAGTGTCCCCTAACCAGGTCCCCATGTACTACCTCCTAGTAGCAAATAAGCAACACAATATTGTGATGCCAAAGCCTTTTCTAATCAGAATCTAGAATGGCAGAAATCCTAAAAGTTAAAGACACTTGTAAGACTCCCAGATATTCCTTTTTTAATTTAAAAACAGAAATCCAAATTGGTTGGATGTGCACTCTTCTCACAAAAGAGAGATATGGACAAGCTGGAATGTGTCCAGAGGAGGGCGACTAAAATGATCAAGGGTCTGGAGAACAAGCCCTATGAGGAGCGGCTTAAGGAGCTGGGCATGTTTAGCCTGAAGAAGAGAAGGCTGAGAGGAGATATGATAGTCATGTATAAATACGTGAGAGGAAGTCACAGGGAGGAGGGAGCAAGCTTGTTTTCTGCTTTGGAGACTAGGACACAGAACAATGGCTTCAAACTACAAGGAAGGAGATTCCATCTGAACATGAGGAAGAACTTCCTGACTGTGAGAGCCGTTCAGCAGTGGAACTCTCTGCCCCGGAGTGTGGTGGAGGCTCCTTCTTTGGAAGCTTTTAAACAGAGGCTAGATGGCCATCTGTCAGGGGTGCTTTGAATGCAATATTCCTGCTTCTTGGCAGGGGGTTGGACTGGATGGCCCATGAGGTCTCTTCCAACTCTTTGATTCTAAATACTCTACCCCTGCAAGGGTAGCTGAAGTGTGAAGCTGGAAGGAAAATCTTATGCTGGAGAAAATATTAGTTCTTAAGGTCCATTGGACCCTTTGTTCCTTATATGGGGAAGGTACACATAAAGGCAAAAGAAAATATTGTTCTCCACTTGTCAGGGAAATGCTTTTCTGCAACAGAAGCAAAATACAAAGAAGGCGCATGTGCACTCAGATGAAAATCCATAGTGCATCAACTGCACAAGTCTGTGACCATATGGAAATACACTATTTTAATCCTCTAGTACAGGGGTTCTCAAAAATTTTCAGCCGCTGAGCCCTTTTTCTCATATAGCCCCAAGAAATGTTTATATATTATATTATATAATGTATATCTATATCAGGCATGAGTAAACCTTTTGATGTACATAAACTTAACAGTAATTCAATGGAAGACCCCAGGGGCCATCCAGTCCAACCCACTTCTGCCATGTAGGAAAAGCACAAAGGACCCCCAGCAGAAGGCCATCCAGCCTGAAGAAGAAGAGGAGGGGGGGAGGAGGAGCAACCCCATAGAATCATAAAATCATAGACTTGGGAGAGACCTCATGGGCCATCCAGTCCAACCCCCTGCCAAGAAGCAGGAAAATCGTGTTCAAAGCACCCCTGACAGATGGCCATCCAGCCTCTGTTTAAAAGCCTCCAAAGAAAGAGTCTCCACCACACTCCAGGGCAGAGAGTTCCACTGCTGAACGGCTCTCACAGTCAGGTGGAATCTCCTTTCTTGTAGTTTGAAGCCATTGCTCTGTGCCCTAGTCTCCAGGACAGCGGAAAACAAGCTTGCTCCCTCCTCCATATGACTTCCTCTCACATATTTATAAATAGCCATCATGTCTCCTCTCAGTCTTCTCTTCTTCAAGCTAAACATGCCCAGCTCCTTAAGCCACTCCTCATAGGGCTTGTTCTCCAGACCCTTGATCATTTTAGTTGCCCTCCTCTGGACACATTCCAGCTTGTCAATATCTCCCTTCAATTGTGGTGCCCAGAATTGGACACAGTATTCCAGGTGTGGTCTAACCAAGGCAGAATAGAGGGGTAGCATGGCTTCCCTGGATCTAGACACTAGACTCCTATTGATGCAGGCCAAAATCCCATTGGCTGCCGCATCACATTGTTGGCTCATGTTTAACTTGTTGTCCACGAGGACTCCAAGATACTGCTAATAATAATAATAATAATAATAATAATAATAATGGCAATACCAGGGGCCATTCAGTCCAACCCCCTCCTGCCATGCAAGAAAAGCACAATCAAAAGTCCCCCAACAGATGGCCATTCAGTCTTTGTAATAATAATAACAATAATAATAATAATAATAATAATAATAATAATAATAATAGGGGCCATCTAGTCCAACCCCCTTCTGCCATACACAGTCAAAGCACCCCTGAGCGGTAGGAGGGAAATGGGATTTTGGAAGCAAGGAAGGAGAGAGGGAAAGGATCTGGATTGCAAGGAAAGTGGAGGGAGGAGCAGGTGGGGGAAGGAACAGGAAAGAGGAGGGAAAGCTTGGAGGGAGAGGGGGAAGGAAACCGCAGAGCCACTCAGGAAGCAAGGGCTCCACGGAGCACACTTTGAGAACCACTGCTCTAGTAGTTGTTTTTGGTATGCATTCACAGTGTGTTCACTTCTGTCTTTGCAGGTGGTTTGGTATCTTTCTTATAAGGTGGGATGTGCTGTAGCCAAATGCCCTAATAAAAAATACACGTACTATTATGTTTGCCAGTACAGTCCTGCGTAAGTATTCCTTTTGTAATTTTCTGTTTTTTGGCAGTGCTCGTGTTTTATCCCACACACATGACCAGTCACGTTTAGTGTTGGTAGCACGCTAGTGTTTTCATTCCCTAGAGTTCTTTAGCACAAGGCTAGCAGCATTATTTTTGCAATACAAAAATAATGAAAGGAAAAAGGTATTTCTAAAGTTGTAACAGTTAGAAGGAGGAGGAGGAACCCCAGGGGCCATGCAGTCAAAGAACCTTCTGCCATGCAGGAAAAACACAATCAAAACATCCCCAACAGATGGGCATTCAGCCTTTGTAATAATAATAATGGCGCAGAGCAGGCTCATAGCCAGGATTTTGATTCGGGGGGGGGGGGCTGAGTTTGATTGGGGGGGGCTGAGTCTGAGTGAAAGAGGGTCTACCCTAGTAAACCTTTTGTATCATTACCCCAATACCCCCATGCATATGGGATATATTGAGCATGGTGATCAGATTATGATATGAATAAACATAACAGTTTAAATAATGTACCAGTAAGGCCTTTTCGCGACCACCATGAGAATTTCAGGGGGGGGGCTGAAGCCCCTAAGGCCCCCCACCCAGCTACATGCCTGCCGCAGAGGGTTAAACCGCTGGGCTGCTCAGCTTGTTCACCGAAAGGCTGCAGGTTCGAATCTGGGGAGCGGCGTGAGCTTCCGCTGTCAGCCGCAGCTTCTGCCAACCTAGCAGTTTGAAAACATGCAAATGTGAGTGGATCAATAGATACCGCTCCTGCGGGAAGGTAACGGTGCTCCATGTAGTCATGCCAGCCACATGACCTTGGAGCTGTCTGTGGACAACGCTTAGAAATGGAGATGAGTACCAACCCCCAGAGTCGGACACGACTGGACTTAATGTCAGGGAACAACCTTTATCTTTTCAATAATAATAATAATAATAATAATAATAATAATAATAATAGCAGCAATACCAGGGGCCATCCAGTCCAACCCCCTTCTGCCATACACAGAAGCTGTTGCCATGTGTATAACAGAGCAGCTTGAAAAGCATGTCAATGGACCAGTGTTTCTATGCAATTCTCCATCACAGGTTGAGTTTACCATAACACCGACAATCCCCAAAGGTGTTATTGCTCAACTAATCACTCAGCACAAACCATAAAAACTTTATGGGTTGTTGTAGGTTTTTTCGGGCTGTATGGCCATGGTCTAGAGGCATTCTCTCCTGATGTTTCGCCTGCATCTATGGCAAGCATCCTCAGAGGTAGTGAGGTGTGTTAGAACTAGGGAAAAGGGGTTTATATATCTCTGGAATGACCAGGGTGAGACAAAGGACTCTTGTCTGCTGGAGCTAGGTGTGAATGTTTCAACTGATCACCTTGATTAGCATACAATGGGCTGACTGTGCCTGGAGCAAACTTTTGTTGAGAGGTAATTAGATGTCCCTACCTGCTTCCTCTCTGTTGTTGTGCTGTTGCAATTTTAGAGTTTTTTAATACCGGTAGCCAGATTTTGTTCATTTTCAGCTTTATGCCTTGAAGCTTTATGCCTTGAAGAAACATTTCCCATCATTATATGCCAAGAAACTTCATGCATTGCTCACACCAGAAGTGACTTGAAATTTCTCGAGTCACTCCTGACTTGAAAAAATATCTCCAATATTTACTAGTTTTATTTAAATATTTCCTCTCACCTTGGCAAAACTCCTGAGACAACGTACAACAAATACAATAAATCAAAGCACTCCTTAAAGCAAACCAAATTAATTTTCAAAAGGTGGAAAAGGCCACTTTGATGAAAACAGTGAAAAAACAATTCTTGATTTTACTAACCAAAGGTTGTGTGATAGAGTGCAGACCTGACTTTTCCGTGGTAAACTTAACAGGATTAGAACCCGCCTGGTTCCCCTTGGGAGGGAGCTCCACAACATGGGCACTCCCCTATCGCATGTATCCACCAACGTAATGCAACAAGTTGACATGAAGTAGGGCCTCTGTTGAGGATTAAATATTCTAGGCAGGCTGATGTGGGAGGATCCAGTCTTTCGCTATATCCAGGCCCCAAGCCATTTAGGGTTTTGTAAGTCAAAATAAACATTGTAAATTGACTACAGAAGCAAACTGAATGCCACTGCCATTCAGACAAGATAAGGGGTTGCAAGCACACACTGACCACTGTTTAACTGATGTATTTTGGAGAAAGAAAAGTATGTTTATTTCCATCTGGGACTCTGGTGAGGAATTGTGTCCAAAAGCAAACCAGAGTGATAAAGATGTCTGTGCCTTTTATACCTCTACAAATGCAGGGAAACAAAGAAACATGTTTCTACATACATTGACATCATTCACTGCGTCGCTTTAGCATCATAGAAATATCAAATTATATCTTCCAACATGCGAGAGGCATGTCTCTATATTTTTTCTGAGAGTAGCATACAGCTTACAGCTTACATTCACCAATCAAGGGGCCTACTTTGACCTGTCAGGAGGGAAGGGGATTCCTTACTTAGAAGGAAGACGCTGGGCTATGTTGTACTAGTCTCTCTGGAATGTATAGATAACAAGTCCCCCTTCTCCTCCCGCTTTTAACACAGATCTCCTTCTGCATTCTCTCTGTCCTGCGGCTTTCTAACACAGAGAGAACCTGATTTTTCTTACATTTCAGTGCTTGTAATATACATACAATAAATGCATAAATAAATATCTATTTTTTCCAATATCTCCCCATCAATAGCACATTTTTCAGGTTAACTTCTCTTTATTGTTGTCTTTCATTTCATTTATATTTTTTAATGTTGCAGAGGGAACAGGAAAGACCTTATGCACACCCCCTATGCAGAAGGAAAACCGTGTGAGGATTGCCCGAAGAATTGCGATGACGGATTATGCAGTAAGATTGTGAATGAATGTTGTGAGACAAAAATGGTATTAATGTCCCAGTTCTTATAGAGCTGGAGTGAACACCTATAGAGAAAATGGGACAATTCTTGCCCATGTGCACCCTGGTGGCCACACTGTTGCACCAAAGCCTAGAAATGTGTAAACATATTTTCCCAGGTGATTTTTCTCACTACTACTACTCCCCCTTTTTTTTCACGCTCAGACCCACCACAGGATGCAATAGTTTTGTTCTCCCAACCCTTCCAAGCTCCCCTTCTATCTTCCAACCCCTTCCCATCAAAAAAATAATAAGAAGTCAATAATCAGCTGAAATTGAAACAGGAAGCTACAACCTAGTTTCTGTTAATTTTTAAAAATTATGTCAATGTTTTAAGGTCTGGGGAGTTTGTGATTTTGAGTGAGTTTGGAAAGGGTTGTTGAAAATACCCACAAATACATATTTTTACAGGATGTAGGTATTTTTATCGTTCACACTTTGGGATCCTCACATGTTGCACAAGATTCACTAGCCATTATTTGCCTGTTCTGAAATGTCCATCCATGCATTGATTCCAATTATTTATCTTCCTCCTTTCTCCTATAGAAGGAAGTCAAGATTGAATTATCCAATTAATCACTATATGCAAAAATCATTAAAATCCTAATGCCATCTAATAGAGTTTCCCTTACAGTCTTGTCATATGTGCTGCCAGAATTGCCCTGGATCTCCGCAAACCATTGTGATTCTGGTGGCAACTGCCCATGGGATGTGGGATCTGGTGCGCCACACTTGCACCAGCCTGACTTCCCCCCTATCTCATGAGATGGGGGAAAGCCTCCTTAAGCCAACTTGACCTATCTTTCCCTTTGGAAAGATGGGGAGCCACCTGTCAGCCATTGGCAGCAATTCTTCAGTGGCAGCAGGGTTTTTGCTCTAGTGCAAACACAGAACCACCCCACCCACCCCCCATCCCCCGGGAATATGTTCTCCAAGGTATGATGGGAGCCATCAGCCTTCGTGACTAAACTAAAAATAAAACATCGCTACTGCCAAAAATAAGAGTGAAGAGGTCCTTAGTCCAAAAGACAGAAATATTGAAGAGAGATATTGACAAGCTGGAATGTGTCCAGAGAAGGGCGACTAAAATGATCAAGGGTCTGGAGAACAAGCCCTATGAGGAGCGGCTTAAAGAGCTGGGCATGTTTAGCCTGAAGAAGAGAAGGCTGAGAGAAGACAAGATAGCCATGCATAAATATGTGAGAGGACATCATAGGGAGGAGGGAGCGAACTTGTTTTCTGCTTCCCTGGAGACTAGGACGCGGAGCAATGGCTTCAAACTACAAGAAAGGAGATTCCATCTGAACATTAGGAAAAACTTCCTGGCTGTGAGAGCTGTTCAGCAGTGGAACTCTCTACCCCAGAGTGTGATGGAGGCTCCTTCTTTGGAGGTTTTTAAACAGAGGCTGGATGGCCATCTGTCGGGGGTGCTTTGAAAGCAATTTTCCTACTTCTTGGCAGGGGGTTGGACTGGATGGCCCATGAGGTCTCTTCTAACTCTATGATTCTATGACATTCTTACTCAATTATGAATTTTCATGGTTGTTGTGGATAAGCCATGCTCCTTGCCATACTTCCCTCCACAAGCCAATGGGACATGCAGCTGTTGCTATTTATATAATAGAGAAGCTTGAAAAGTATGGCAATGGACCAATGTGTCTATGTAATACTCCATCACAGGTTGAGTTTACATCCCCAAAGATGTAATTGCTCAGATAATCAGGCACCTTTGTTTTCCAAGCTTTATGCCTTGACTAAACATCTCCCATATGATTGCCAAGAAACCACATACATTGCTGACAGGCCCGTAGCCAGGATTTCGATTTGGGGGGGGGGGGGTTTGTTTTTTTGGGGGCTGAGTCTGAGTGAAAGAGGGTCTACCCTAGCAAACCTTTTGTATCGTTACCCCAATACCCCCATGCATATGGGATATATTGAGCATGGTGATCAGATCATGATATGAATAAACATAACAGTTTAAATAATGCACCAGTAAGGCCTTTTTGAGAACCACCATGAGAATTTGGGCTGAAGCCCCCCAAGCCCCCCCCCCCCCTCCCGGCTACATGCCTGATTGCTGAGCATATCTGGGAAATACAGTTGGTTCCCGCACATGGATGGGTGTTATGGCAGAGAACCCTGGCAAATGTGGAAAATCTGTGCCTATCTACCAGACAGTCTTGGAGGCAGTGAGGGGCTGGGGGGAGCATAATGAGGCACCATCGCCATAGTCTACATGGCACTTGCTCAACAGCTCTGCCTTTTTCTTGGCCCTCCTTCCCTCCCTGCTCCAGCTCCTCTCTCTCTCCTGGAACAGGACTCATGTCGAGATGCCAGTGGCAGTGGGGAGAAAGAGCCTCTGGACTTCTCTTAACCTCCGAAACCATGGAGGGCAGGCAGAGAAGTAGGAGGAAGAGGCTATCAGATGATGCCCTCCTGGGCTTCTCCCTACTACGACCAGCCTCTAGTTATGGGAGGCAGGACAGAGGGAGGGTGGTGGCTGAGCAATGAATAATCAAATCCATGGATATCAAACCCGCAAATGTGGAGATGCTGGCTGTAGTCATCTATAATGTGCCACTTCGTGTGAGATTGTCCTGCTTGGAATTCACAATTAAATATTAACTCTCTATTCCCTATCACTTAATAAGAGAAAATAGTAAGAATACTAGTAGAACCAAAAAAAATAAGGGAATGTTAATATCATTTGACTGTTTAAATTCAAAATATACTATCTTGAATAGTATACTTTAGCAAATCATAGATTTGCATGGAGTCCAAAGAAATGGATTGATGACAAATTGGATAGGACAGGATATTAAAATGGAAGGAATATAGACATTTCAATGATTGCTCAAAGATGCAAATATTCAAATTTTATAAGTATTATTATTATTATATTATTATCTAGTAGATTTTATTATTATTATTATTATTATAACTTTATTTGTACCCCGCTAGCATCTCCCGAAGGATTCGATGCGGCTCACAATAGGCCGAAGCCCAACACAATACAACAATACAATATCTAGCAAATAAAAACAGTTAAGCAGAAAAACAATAACAATAGCAATACGACAAGACATTATTAAAAACTGAGTCGGCCGGAGTAGGGGTACAAGGTTAAAAGTGCTGATGTATCGGAGGGGTATGGGATTATGATATAAGTGCGGTGTGCAGTGTGCGGTGATTTGGTACTAAAGTGCTTCTGGGATTTGGTAGTGGGAGATTCCTAATCTGAAAAGGCACATTGGAACAGCCAGGTTTTCAAATTCTTTCTGAAGACTGCCAGTGTAGGGGCTTGTCTGAGATCTTTCGGGAGGGCGTTCCAGAGGCGGGGGGCCACCACGGAGAAGGCCCTGTCTCGCGTCCCCACCAAGCGCGCTTGTGACGCAGGCGGGATCACGAGCAGGGCCTCTCCAGATGAATGAAGTGAACGCGCGGGTTCGTAGACAGAGATGCAGTCACGCAGGTAGGGTGGTCCCAAACCGTTCAGGGCTTTGTAGGTAAGCACCTGCACCTTAAATTGGGCTCGGAAAATAAACGGCAGCCAGTGGAGCTCCTTAAACAGGAGGGTTGACCTCTCTCTGTAATGGGCCCCAGTTAACATCCTGGCTGCTGCCCGTTGGACCAATTGGAATTTCCGAGCCGTTTTCAAGGGCAGCCCCACGTAGAGCGCATTGCAGTAATCCAGTCTAGAGGTGACTAAGTAGGTATAATCAAGTCAAATGCCAACATTTCAGAAACATCTGATTGGCTTCCATGGGAAAAAAGAGGTCGGGCTGGGTGAAACTGAAGAGGTAAAAGTGACTGACTAGTACTTTTTTCGTGAGCTATGCATTTTGGTTTGCTATTTTCTTCATTTTCTTTTTCCAGTGCAAGTAACTGTGTTTTGTTGTCTTCTTTAATTTTCAGCCAATCCATGCACAGAAAAGGATATGTACAGTAACTGTCCACAGTTAAAGGAAGAATGGGGATGCGAAATTTCTCTAATGTCAAACTGCAAGGCTTCTTGTAAATGTACCACAGAGATAAAATAAGGATCCAGTCAATTACTCATCCAAATTAACACTTTTGATTTAAACTATGACATTAATACTTGGTTAAATTAGCCTGTCATACAGCTTTGAGCATCACTGAGCAAAGCCTGTACTCTTCTACAGGAGAAAATAGTTTCATTAGGAAATCGTATCTAACATATTTTTTAAGCCTTTTCACAGATTTCTAAGGTGTCTTTTTTAAATCAACTTTATCTATCAAACTTTTTTCTGATTTGTACCTACATTTAATAATTAATAAAGTTTTTGATTTTACCTTAAACAAACTAAAATGTTTTCCTATGATTATCAAATATAATAAACTGCTCTAGTAATATCGTTCATATTACTTACTTACTTACTTACTTACTTAGGCGATCCCTCGTTGTCCGGGTAAGATTGTCCTCCAAGTTCAGTGTCCCAGCGGTGGGTCCATAGGTGGACTGTGAAGCCCTATTCTTGCTCTGCATCTTCTTCCGCAGTGAGGGCATTGGTTTCTAGGTGGAAGGCGGTCCCGGTCGGGGTTGGCTTGACGCACCTTCCTCTTGGCACGTTTCTCTCTTTCACCCTCCATTGTGCCTCTTCAAATTCTACAGCACTGCTGGTCGCAGCTGACCTCCAGCTGGAGCGCTCAAGGGCCAGGGCTTCCCAGTTCTCAGTGTCTATGCCAGAGTTTTTAAGGTTGGCTTTGAGCCCATCTTTAAATCTCTTTTCCTGTCCACCAACATTCCATTTTCATTCTTGAGTTCGGAGTAGAGCAACTGCTTTGGGAGACGGTGGTCGGGCATCCGGACAACGTGGCCAGTCCAGCGGAGTTGATGGCGGAGGACCATCGCTTCAATGTTGGTGGTCTTTGCTTCTTCCAGCACACTGACATTCGTCCGCTTGTCTTCCCAAGAGATTTGCAGGATTTTTCGGAGGCAGCGCTGATGGAATTGTTCCAGGAGTTGATGTGACATCTGTAGATAGTCCACGTTTCACAGGCATATAGCAGGGTTGGGAGGACAATAGCTTTATAAACAAGCACGTTGGTATCCCTACGGATGTCCCGGTCCTCAAACACTCTCTGCTTCATTCGGAAAAATGCTGCACTCGCAGAGCTCAGGTGGTGTTGTATTTCAGTGTCGATGTTGACTTTGGTGGAGAGGTGGCTGCCAAGGTAGCGAAATGGTCAACATTTTCTAATGTTACACCATTAAGCTGTATCTCTGGCATTGGAGAGGGATTGGCTGGTGACTGCTGGAAGAGCACTTTCGTTTTCTCAATGTTCAATGGCAGGCCAAGCTTCTCGTATGCTTCTGCGAAGGTGTTTAGAGTGGTCTTCTTCTGAATGCGCATAGATAGCGTTGTCATCAGCATACTGGAGTTCTAACAGAAGTTGTTGTAACCTTGGTTTTGGCTTTCAGTCTGCTGAGGTTAAATAACTTGCCATCTGTCCGATAGATGATTTCCACTCCGGTGGGAAGCTTCCCATCAACAAGATGAAGTATCATTGTGATGAAGATGAAAAATAAGATTGGGGAAATAACACATCATTCATATTATTAACAATTATAAGGGATGGACGAACATCCTAGTTCAGTTTAGACTGGTGACACATCAAGAGAGAATACTTCTAGAACATGGTTATACAGCCTGAAAACCCTACAACAACCTATGTGTACAAACACTTCACTAAAAAGCCTTTGTTGTCACTTCATTCATACCACGCATTTGCGCTTCTATGAAGCAAAGCCAGAAGAGAAGGTGGAAGTGAACGCCTGCTTGCAAATGTGTTCTCACAAATGTCAAATCAAATAAACAATAAAAGGCAACACTGCCTTTGCCAGTTGTCAATATGATGTTGCCAAAGGATCAAACATGCACACACACATACTCCCTCATTGATAGCTAAAACCACTGCTGCAGGCTGCTGACTGGCTGAAAAACAAAAGGTGGTATAGACAGAAATAGTCTATTGGGTGTGGGTGTGTTTACTATCTTTTTCTTGTCTCAACCAGTTTTGGACAAGATCTGGCAGGTATGTACTCTATTAGCATAAACTTTGGGAGAATTGTCTTCATTTACGTGGAAATATTGACATCCCCTGCTTTTACAATAAGATGCAGATTATAGAATGACTGTATAGTGAGAGAGGAGTACATGATTCCCAGCTAGTCAATGCAATCATTAATGACTTAGATGAAGGGTTAGAAGGCAATCATCAAGTTTGCAGATGACACCAAATTGGGAGGGATAGCCAATACTCCAGAGGACAGGAGCAGGATTCAAAATGATCTTGACAGATTAGAGAGGTGGGCCAAAACTAACAAAATGAAGTTCAACAGGGACAAATGCAAGATTCCACTTAGGCAGAAAAAACAAAATGCAAAGATACAGAATGGGGGACACCTGGCTTGAGAGCAGTACGTGTGAAAAAGATCTTGGAGTCCTTGTGGACAACAAGTTAAACATGAGCCAACAATGTGATGTGGCAGCAAAAAAAAGCCAATGGGATTTTGGCCTGCATCAATAGGAGCATAGTGTCTAGAACTAGGGAAGTAATGCTACCCCTCTATTCCGCTTTGGTTAGACCACACCTGGAATATTGTGTCCAATTCTGGGCACCACAATTAAGAGAGATTGACAAGCTGGAATGTGTCCAGAGGAGGGCAACTAAAATGATCAAGGGTCTGGCGAACAAGCCCTATGAGGAGCGGCTTAAAGAGCTGGGCATGTTTAGCCTGAAGAAGAGAAGGCTGAGAGGAGATGATAGCATGTATAAATATGTGAGAGGAAGTCACAGGGAGGAGGGAGCAAGCTTGTTTTCTGCTACCCTGGAGACTAGGACGCGGAACAATGGCTTCAAACTACAAGAAAGGAGATTCCATCTGAACATGAGGAAGAACTTCCTGACTGTGAGAGCCGTTCAGCAGTGGAACTCTCTACCCTGGAGTGTGGTGGAGGCTCCTTCTTTGGAAGCTTTTAAACAGAGGCTGGATGGCCATCTGTCAGGGGTGATTTGAATGCAATATTCCTGCTTCTTGGCAGGGGTTGGACTGGATGGCCCATGACATTGATATCGAGCTCTTTTGTGGGGTTCTCCCAGCGGGGGGGAGATCCCTGAAGACCGCTAAAGGGGTCTTTGACCTCGGTGAGCAGCCAGCGAAAGCCAATCCAAAGCGCAAAAATATTAGAAATTAATCTCACCAGAGGCTGAAGAGGTGTCAGTGACCGAAGCGTTTATTTCTGCGATTCAGCTGAAAAGGATGCGATTGCAGTGATCATTCACATACAAGCATACATTCATAGAAGTTACAGGCATTTTTATATTGTCAGAACAAAGGAAAAACAGTTTGAAAATCCCGCCCGCCCTCCGGTAGCCAGCTTCGCCCTGATTGGCTGGCCGCGGGACAGCTGGGAGGAGGCTTGGCTGTTCATCCCGCCTCCCGCCCAATCAGCGGCTCCCTAGCGCCTCCGAGGATGGTCCAATCAGCAGCCAGGAGGCGGGACGAAGTTTGACAGCCCACGGGAAATGGGATGCCCAGGGGGCACTTGCCAGCTGTTTCCGAGCCTTTGTTCTTATCGGCGGGGTGGCAGACAGGAGGAACAAAGAGTTTCCTGGTCCGGTGATTGGATTTGAGAGAAAATATGAAAAGGGGCTGTAGATGGCATTTGGATCTCAAAACTCTGTAAACAAGGGGCCCTGTAGACAAAGGAGCTCAACAAACACCAAAAATTGAGTTAATCAATCTTTCTACCGGAGTTTCTGTTGACCCATCTCTTATCTCATTGTCTGCTCTGAAAATGAGCCTCGAGATGGGATCAAGCACGGCCCATGCAAATGTAAATATGGACTGTCTTGGGAGGACAAAGGGTTTCCTCCCTGTTGCAGTAATCCTTGGGTCACATTCCTTTGGGGCAAAAAGGGTCAGAGAGGAAATGCGGGGAGGGGAACCTAAGCATATTTCATTCCATAACATATTTCATATACCTTATACATTTCATGCGGCAAATCCCATCCCCAACCCCAGCGAGAGTTTATTTATAAGAATATTTAGTCACTTTATTATAGAAAGAAATCCATGGACTCCTGGCGAAGGCACACGGAGGTGGTGGCCGCTTGCAATTCGGAGCAAGTCTGAGCTGAAGGTTCATATCCAAAATGTGGCTGAAAACAGTCCGGGATGTGGAGCAGAAAGTCAATAGGAGAGGGCAAACAGGAGAGTCCAAAGGGGCTTCCGGGTTGTGTTCAATGGGGCAATGTCCTTTGGGAAACTACATTTCCCTGATCAAGGGCCAGGGTCCAGTGCACAAGCCAGAGAATTCACAAAGAAGAAACAGGAACCCAGTTATGTGTGCTGGGTCAGGAAGCAACAGAATCCATTGTCCGGCCCTTGGCGAACTACAAATACTTGAGGGGGGGGGAGATGCTCCGCATCAAGGTCTCTTCCAACTCTTTGATTCTATGATTCTATTAAGGAGGAAAACAAGTATTTTAGATATAACCAACTAGGAAAAAACCCGATGCTATAAATATCATGCTGAACTTGTGATTTTTGACTGACTGGCTTTTGAGGGCAACCTCCCAGTCTGGTCTTTATCTGCAGGTTGTTGAACAAAAGGTGTTGAGTGATTTCTTACTCCATTGAGAATTAATTGGCTGTGTGGCACCAGGCAAGCGGAGCTGCCTGTTTTAGCAACAACAAATACAAACAAGGAAGCTCCTCTTCTGGTCAAACATCCACTCATCTGGCCCCATCAAGCCCCAGTTCAAAGATCAAACCATGCATTTAAGAAACCCACTTTGTTCCAATAACAGAGAAGGAAGCTAGGGCTTTTTAAAACTTTCTTAAAGCTCTTAGGCATTGAAAAGAAGTATTTTCGCACTGATGCATGTTCCATCCCATCTGGACTGGGATTCAGGAAAGGGTGCATTATCTAGCTTCTGTAGATTCACTTTGGGAGAGTATCATTTGTTAGGCCCCATCTACACTGCTATGTAAGGCAATTTGAAACTAACCGCATTAAATGGTCAGTATAGACTCATATCCTGCTGTTCAAGACAGTTAAACTACATTATATGAGGGCCCCATCTGCCATATAATGCAGTTTCATAATGCACGGATCCCTTTTCTATAATTTATACCGTATTTTATACTTTTTTGCTCATATATGCCAATAAAGGCTTATTGGATTGGCAGTTTCATCATGCAGTTTAACTCCATCAAATTGGTAGCTCCACAGATAAGACATAGTGGCAAAGGAATTGATTAATTGATA